CTTACTATACATGGTCGTTTTTTTCGGCAAAAAATGCCTTACTATACATGGTCGTTTTTTTCGGCTAAAAACGCCTCTGTTTTTTTTTTTTTGGTAAAAAAGCCTTAGTATACATGGTCATCTGTATCGGAGGGGGAAACATCTCAAACGTGCTGGAAAAGGGGCTCCCGAGGACCGGACTTGAGCACCCTCAATCTACAGCCAGAACTGGATCTAGCTTTAACAGTTGTCAAGAGTCTTAAGTCTTGACATGAGCTGCTGGCGAATTTACCCTGATGTGGGGGCGGATGCGGTACTGTCGACAGTAGTCCTCCAGGTAGCGCCGCACATCCTGATGCGACAGGAAGCTGTTGAGCTGCTGGTTGAACGGAAAGTCCGGGAACATCATCACCTCTTTGGGAAGGTTGGTCCTGTGCCCCAAAGAACAGGATCCCAGTCGTGGGATCAACGTTATAATACTCATATTCTCCTCCTGGTCTTACACGGTCAAAATGTCCAGGGTCGGAAGAAGAACTACACTCAGGCCTAAGTCTGGGACAAGTTCTCGTGGGCAGACCGAGGACCGGGGGCTGGTCTGACCACACACAGTAAGTTTGGTTCTCACCTGAGGTTTTTATACATGCTGCATCGTACGTCCGGTCCGACCCGCTCCTGGTAGCGCCAAGTTCCCCCCACGTTGGCGGTGAGCTCAAAGACGACAGGAGGGGCGAAGCGCTCCGGTCTGGACAGCACGTGTCGGGCCGCGCAGAGTCCCGCCGCCCCCGCGCCGATCACTGCCACGCGCAGCAATTCCATCGCCATGGCAACCGCGCCCGGAACTCCTGCAACTGCTCGACAACATTGATTAATAAAACAAGCACCTCCCCCAGAAGTAACATTGGGGAAAGGAAAAGCCCCGAAGCAATATTTGTTGAGTGAACCGTCCTTGCTCCTGTTTTCTACTTCGCTCGAGCCTGACTCGCATGAGCGTCCCGTATTGGAACGAGCACGGACCCTGATGTAGTACCGTAACTACACCGCGGCCCGATTTAAAACCCCAAATCCAACCCACTATAGATCTCAAACTTCAACTAAAAAGAACAATCTAGAGACCGCTAAAATGATTCACAACAGGATAGAACCGAATCTCCAACCATAACTAGAAACTAACCAGAATCTCATCAACAAGCGCTCCCAAAGCCCAACAACAACAGACTGAAACCATGATACTCTTGTCATGGAATGTTGATATTAATAACATGGGTCAAGAAAAACGCGTCAGGCTGACAATCCCATCAGGGAAACGAGACATCTCCGTGACTTTGTCGCAGCTGGACGAAAGATCGAAAAGCAAAAACAGTCCAAAATCGAACTTTTCGCTCCCATTGATACTAATAACGCGGTGAAATTAAATTTACGTCACGTACCTGTGTCGTTCCGCAGTAAAAGCCAAATAAAATGCCGATTTTTTTTCACTCCGCTACATTTGCAACTTTTGACCAGGAAGTCAAGCTCCGGGGAAAAACACACCTCACCTTTCCGGTCGTGTGACTTCAAAATAAAAGTATCACGCTCTTGATACTTCCTTTTTGAAGCCGAACAACGGAACGTTAAAATCGGTATTGCAACGGACTGAAAAGCAAGTTTCACCAATAACCGAACGTATTCGTATGATCAGACTGATTGGCTGTTTGCTCTGTGCTTGTGAGCATCTGGCTTTGAACAATTGCTCCATTTTTTTTCCGTCACCCAAATCTAATTTTGCCCCGCAATACGTAATAAATAAGTAAACAGCTCGAGGTACCACTCAACAGTATTTTTGTTAAAGCAATTATTTGTGCCCTATGGACAAATAGAGAACAAAAAAGAAGAAAATCCAGATTTCTTCCAGAAAACTGTCTTAAACATTTATTGTTTTTCTAGACGGCAAAAACAATCAAGCGGGCAGCTGCGGTCACTTGGCGGTGGCGTTGGCGTGCTGCGGCGGCGGCGGCTGTTGCTGTTGCAGTTGCTGCTGCTGAGGCGGCGGCTGCTCGGCGAGCGCCTGCTGCAGCCGCGTTCGCTTTCTGGAGTAGTGCTGCCAGTGGAGCAGCTGCTGCTCGTCAATGAACTTGGCGCACTGCGCGTTCACCAGCTCCTTGCGGAAGTGCTCGTACTGCAGCAGCTCCAGCATGTGCAGGCAGTGCGGGTACCTGCACGGAGCGCTTACACTCAATCGCTGGATTTTGCTTTGCATTGAAAAGGCAACGGCAAATGGCTCTCGTGCGGTTTCGGGAAACTAATCCACGTCAAAAATCATCCGGCCATCAACATGAACGGCCACTCTCAGCATTTTGGTGGTCTTACTTGAGAAACTTGGCGTAGTCGGGCTCCTTCCAGTACAACAGATACTTGAGGTAGTTGATGAAGGGTCTCTCCCTCAGGAAGCCCCTCTGAGCCAGGACTACACGCACGCAAAGTGTGTCATCAGTCGTGTGTTGTTGTGTTGCAAAACAAAGGCGCACACTCACAGTTGAGATAGTTTGGGTTGGCCAAACATTGGATGAACTCCAACTCTGACTGGAAGCGGGTCCGAGCCTGTTCCTCTATATGCGCGGAGCGCACACACACAAACAAAACAATACAGTACATTCAAACGTTGACTCTCTTGTGGCACACAAGTGAATCACTACCCAAGTTCACTTTTCATACCCAGCCGTCTAAATGTCTCAAGAGATCATGTAGAGATGTAAGTGTATTATTATATACTCAAAATTAATTATTCTATTAATTCCATTCAATAATTTAGCGCTTAATCAGCCCGTTAGAATTTTACTTTCACCTCCTGCTTAGCTTCGTCTTCTTTGAAGAATATTTGTTAAAAAAAAAAAAAAAATCGTTCGCCCCCGTATATTTTTACATTTTTAACTTTGGTCAATTATTCTTTGTACCTTATTAATCCCATTACACCGGAATGCCAAGGAAATTAAATCTGGATTTTAACGACCATTTTTGGGGACGCTGCTGGGACGGCCGTGTCAGCGATCACGAGATTGTCGAATCAAACAAAATGGATTTCTATCCACGTATGTAGTCTACCGATGTGATTAATCACAACAAAAAGAAAATACGTAGGAAAGGAAAGGAAGTTTAAAAGACGCATTTGGCGTGTAAACTATGGTCGAGTAGCATTAGCTTGTTAGCACAACGGAAGCTGGAAGAAACATTCAAGCTCACTCACCTGTTTCCATAACAAAAGTCGCTCTTTTCGTCCGCCGAGCAGAGGAAGGCGAGAAAGAGAGAAAACGCGTCGAAAAGCGTTCGCTGCTTTGTTTGGTCGTTCAGCCGTATGAAGACACGGCCATGTTTGCCGGAAATGAACAACAATGACGACGTCTTTTTCGCGACATTTACGTCCGTTTACGATGTTGTGAGCATGCCTAAAGCTTACGCTAGAGGGAGACAATTTGCAACCAAAACACTCGATCATTTTTGTTCCATTTATTTCATTTGCCGTCATTTGAGTTTTGCCACTTCAAACATCGTATATACTGTATTTAATTTCATATCTCAACAGCGGGAGGTCAAAAGATGACGGTTCGAAAGCGGCCACGATTTTGTGTGAAAATGTTTATTGAAAGATCATAAAAGAGTTAGCATGTTACATATGTACAATAAGTCAAAAACTTGAACATAAAAACAACATCAACACAAACGATAACCTCAAAAGTGGAGTCTAACGGAAAATAACATTCACATGAATGTAATACACATAAAATTCACAATATTACCTGAATATGATCTTCATATTCTCCTAATAAATGAAAATAGATTATTAACAAATGTCTCTATCAAAACATACATTTCCAACGCGTCTGATCATGAAAACGTTGCTGACATATTCAGGAGCGCTCTGAGTCAACAAACGGTCAAAGGTAGGAAGCAACTTTTCCAAACCAGATCATGGCATTCAAAACACCACGTGACAAGCGAAAGCAGCTGGAGCGGCGAAATTAAATGTGCGTCGTGCCGTTGGCCCACTCGGGGAAGGAGTCCAGAGAGAACAAGACGCGGCCCCACGTGTTGATGGCCACGCTGGTGCACGCGATGCCGATGACGTTCATCACCACGCCGGTTTTCGCCTGCAGAGGGCGCACGGTAACAGCACAGGTTATGAACAAGCGGGGCTAGCGAGGAGCATACGGACGCTGAAATTTCTTCCCGGTTTGACGGCCAGTGTGGCAAAAACGTCGCATACGACGTTGACACGCTCGTGGCTAAAGTTCTGTCGCCAACCACGAGCATGCGGCTATGTTTCTACGTATGTTTTTCTTATTGCTATAATGCCAGCGGAATATGTTCTAAAGCATGTGCCTGGCCCACGTGTTTATCTTGGTATGGTGTAGCGTTGGCTCCGCAGACTCGCCATGTCGGCTACTTTGAGGTAGCCCGAAGAGAAGACGATGGCGTTGGGGGGCGTGGCCACGGGCAGCATGAAGGCAAAGGAGGCGCTCAGGGTGCACGGGATCATCACGTACAAAGGATTCACGCTGATGGACTGCGACTGCGCGCATATGTCACACAACAACAACAAGAGAAAAAGAAAGAGCCACGAGCCACAGATAAGGTTCTTGTCCCATAGGAAGGCTGGAGTCCCGAGAGAGGGTTCTCGTCCCACCAGAAGATGACTTACCATGGAGGCCAGGATCGGGAGGAGGAGGGTGGCCGTGGCCACGTTGCTGGCGCACTCTGTGAAGGTGGCGGTGAGGAGGCACAGGACCACGGTGATGGCCCACGGCGGGATGGAGTGAAGCGGCGTCATCTGGGAGCCCAACCAGCGCGACAAGCCCGACTCCTGAACAACGCAGCCACATCCAATCCAGAGCGACTCCCGAATCACAAGCTGCCAATTTTTCTCCGATCGGAGCCATTTCCCGCTCACCTCGCTTCCTTTGGCCAGCGCGAAGCCTCCGCCCAGCAGCAGCACGATGTTCCAGGGAATCTTGGCCTGCGCCACCTTCCAGGTCAAAAGGGGAGGGGCGGGGCCTTGGCACACCTGCGCGTCTGATTGGACGCAACAAAGCAAAAAAAAACCTTTCACCTCAGTCAAGGAGATCGTCTCCTTTCGAGAATAGTCAAATGCTTGTTGGGGGGGGGAAAAATGTGTATTTTGGATGGCAACTTTTTTTTTGTTAGATTTGACTTTTTTTCTTCAAATGTCAACTTCTTCCTCATAAGATCGCAACTTCTTCCTCCCTTTTTGAAAACCAAATGTTGAAATGGTTGTTTGTGTGCGTGCGTGCGAGTGGACGCGGACGTGTCACTGACCCGGGTCCGAGTTGTGCCTCCAGCAGCAGAGATATTTGGGCGGCTGGGACGGCAGGATGAACAATAAAAGCGCCACAAAGAGGGAGACGGTGGCGTCCGTGACGAACCTGCAGAGATGTGGTGCCTTTCAAAAAGTGCTTAAAAAAAAAAAAAAATTGAAAATAGAGCAACCGGAAAGTAATGATGTGACAAAATAAAATGTAAAGAAAGTAAACAGCTTTTGCAACATTGTTTGCTTCAAACCAACATCTGATCCAAGGGACATACTGCTATACTGTACACGAAGACACTCACAACTCATTAAGCCAAAGTGATATTAGTTGTTCTTTGTAGAGGATAAAGAATACAGGCATGTGTTGCTGCCACTTATGTTCAGATTTTACATAACGCCACAACTACCGATGCTCTTCATTAGCCCATCCGTGACATTTCGCATCTGATCAAACTTTGTTTTTGAGCTTGTTGCCCATTGTGCAAACAAAGAGGACTTTGAATGTGTTCGAACATACAAACCGTTCTCGTCCACGGTGTTATTTTTGGCCATGCGACAGAGAGGTCATGTTCACTTCCTGCCGCAGCAGAGCGCAAATATTGAAAGGACGCGCACACACACTCGCAAGCCGCGTGGCCGCTCTTTGTTGTTGACGCAGAGTGCGGGTAAAAGGCGCCGTTATGCAACCTGGTAGCGATTTCATGAATGAACATGAAAGGCGTCCACTTTGGTCCCCTTTTCAAGGTTCAAAGACTTTCATTGACAGATCGGGCCGTGGCCACATGAGGCTTAGCCAATCAGACACCTTGAGGAGATTTTGCAAGAAACAAGGTTAGGTTGATTTGTTGTTGTTGTTGTCGTCGTCGCTTTGACTTTCGAGGAAAAGTCGGAGATAGCGTTCCTGACGAGTTCATTGAAAAGGACGTCTGTTGTGGACGTAAAGCAACCACTTGTTCGTTTGAGTCTTCCTCACCGCTTAATACTGTCCCCAGTGGCCAAGTTAAATATGACGCACACCAGCAGGAGCTGAAATCAAAGAGTCATGACGCTCAAGCGATTGAAACCTGCTGTAGAGTCATTTTTCCTCTTGCATTTTTTTTTTTAGGAAACGGATTACTGGCACTGCCATTCATTTCGATGGGAGAAACGGGTGTGATATGCGGCAAAATGAGCCGGAGGAAGAGTAATGGCGGGCCGACTCACTCTGCGTCGGCGTTGAAGGCCCGCGAGGCCCAGCCGTCCACGAAGCGCGGCTCCCGCGTGAACCACAGCAGCACCATCAGGAGGAAGAGCGCCATCACGCTGGCCTCGCCGTAGGTCATGTGACCCAGGCGCCGGTGCTCCTCTTCGATGGCGTCGCGCGCCGCTCGCTCCTTCGCCGCCCGCCCCGCCCCGCACGACCACGCTCCCCGCAGGCTGACAATCGGACGACACAAAAAAGTTGTTCGTTTGAGTCTTCCTCACCGCTTAATACTGTCCCCAGTGGCCAAGTTAAATATGACGCACACCAGCAGGAGCTGAAATCAAAGAGTCATGACGCTCAAGCGATTGAAACCTGCTGTAGAGTCATTTTTCCTCTTGCATTTTTTTTTTTAGGAAACGGATTACTGGCACTGCCATTCATTTCGATGGGAGAAACGGGTGTGATATGCGGCAAAATGAGCCGGAGGAAGAGTAATGGCGGGCCGACTCACTCTGCGTCGGCGTTGAAGGCCCGCGAGGCCCAGCCGTCCACGAAGCGCGGCTCCCGCGTGAACCACAGCAGCACCATCAGGAGGAAGAGCGCCATCACGCTGGCCTCGCCGTAGGTCATGTGACCCAGGCGCCGGTGCTCCTCTTCGATGGCGTCGCGCGCCGCTCGCTCCTTCGCCGCCCGCCCCGCCCCGCACGACCACGCTCCCCGCAGGCTGACAATCGGACGACACAAAAGAGCCGACGGAGGA